TTGACTTCATTAAAAATAAAAACATTTGCATTTCAAACAGCACCATCAAGAAAGTGAAAAGATAATCCATAGACTGAGAAGAACTATTGGCAAGTCATATAACTGATAAAGGACTTGTATCCAAAATATATATTTATATGGAATTTTTATAACTCATTAATAAAAAGACAAATAACTAAATTAGTAAATGAGTAAAGAATTTGAATAGACATTTCCCCAAAGAAGATATGTAAAATCCAATAGGCACATGAAAAGATGCTCCACATCATTAGCTATTAGGAAGTGCACATCAAAATCACAAGGAGATACCACAAGATACATACACACTAGAGTAGCTGTAATTAAGGAGGTCATGTGATGTGAGGAGCACTGGGTGTTATACGCAACTGATGAGTTATTGAACGCTACATCTGAAACTAATATATGTTGGCCTTGAATTTAATTAAAAAAATTTTTTTTTAATTTTAAAAAAGCAATAACAGGTTTGGGTGAGAATATGAGAAATTTGAAGTCACATCATTGTGAGTGGGAATGTAGAGTGGTGCAGCAATTTTGGGAAATAGTACTTCAAAATGTTAATGTAGAATTACCATATGATCCAGCTATTTTACTCCTAGGAATCCACCCAAGAGAATATAAAACATACATCCACACGAAGACTTGTACCCAAATGTTCATACCAGCATTATTCGCAGTAGCCAAAAGGTGAAAACAGTCTAAATGTCTGTTACCAGACGAATATATAAATAACAGGTAGTATATCCACATGGTGGAACACTATTCAGTAATAAAAAAATCTGATAATAGCTACAGCGTGAATGAGTCTCAAAAACATTATGCTCAGAGAATAAAGCCAGTCACAAAAGGCTATCTATTCTGATTCAATTTATGTGAAAGGTACCAAATGGGCAGGTTTATTGTGGCAGAAAGTAGTTAAGTGGTACCTAGGGCTCGAGGTGGGGGTCAGCTGCAAATGATTGCTAATGGGTAAGGGGTTTCTATTTGGGGTGATGAAAATGTTCTCCAAGTTAGATTATGTTGATAGTACACCTCTTTAGGTATAGCAAACATTATTGACATTTATACTTTAAATGGATGAATTTTATGGATACAAATTGTATCTCAATAAAGCTATTTAAAATAACCACTGAGTTTTCTTTTAATTCAATAATTTGTCACTTCAGTTCAAATGCCACAATTTATTTTAAAGATAAGTCTACATAACAATGATTTGGAACAAAAGTTGTATTATTTCTCTAAGATATTAATCATAGTTTTTATATGACCTTTTACTCTGTAATTATGAAATATATATTAAGCTCACCACAAAATATATTTAAGGAGGTTTGAATAGGTGAAATGTTACACATCTTTAAGCATAAACGATTTATAAACACTTCAGAAAAAAACTGAGGTTTCAAAAATTTTCCCATGGGTAGTCAAAGTAGTATAAAGATGTTGTAGTATACATCTGTTGCTAAAGGAATTAAAAAGGTTAACATTTTAAGTGTTTAATTTTAGTTGCCTGATTACTGTTTATATTTAATTAAATTTTTCTTGCCTTGAGCCTGTTAAAAATATGCAATTTTTAAACAAGATTTTAATGGACCTCAGGTGCACAGAATTGGAATAATCATTTTTCTAATTAGAAAATTAACATGATTCAGTTGACTGAACAAATATTTGTCGAATGTGTGGTGTGTGTGTATATAGTATATTCCATACACACACACACACACACACACACACACACACACACACTACATTCCTGGTACTTGTCTATACCATATAGCATGTATAAGTGTATCCTGTTGATTTACATGTTCCGAGTAAAGGCAATATGGTAAAGGTTAGATGAACTAAACTGGGAATTCAAAGTTCTGCCTTTTAATTCAAATCCGCTCTGTGTGATTACCTGAGTCTCACTTTCTCTCAAGTTTTTCAGGGCTCTAGAATTCTAAGTGTATTTTTTTTCCAGTTATATAAAATATTTTCTAAAATCAAAAATTTGTTTTCTAGTGATTTTTATAGTTTCTAAAAATCGTCTTTTTTAAGATGACTAGAGAAAGTCCTCAATGTAAGGAGTTAGAAGTTCTATTAAAGCTTACTCTTGCCTCGTTACTCGTCAGTAGTATAGAGAGTTCAAAGATATTTGCTATTATGAAAAAAAAAAAAACCAACCCTGTCATATCATGCCTCAGTAATACCAAATTTGGACATAATTGACTGGCAATTGGCTCTAGCCTTCTTTTTTTTCTTTCTTTTTTTTTTTTAAAGATCTTATTTATTTATTTGAGAGGGAGACAGAAAGCGTCAGAGGGAGAAGCAGGCTCCCTGTAGGGAGCCCCATGTGGGGCTCAATTCCAGGACCCCGATCACAGAACCCCAATCCCAGGACCCTGGGATCATGACCTGAGCCAAAGGCAGATGCTTAACCAGCTCAATTACTGCCTAAGGATTATAAACTGGCTTTTCTCAGTTCAATGCACAGATAGTTGTGTCCTGTATAAAGGTCCCTATCAATGTTTTTGCAATTTATGCCTATAAAAACTGTCTAGAAAGTTGGTTTTTCTTTAGCTTCACAGTTCCTCTACTTTGTATGTGACATTGCATGCCTCGGGGACGGGCGTAACTTTGGAAAGAGTTCTTCTGATCCCTCAGCAAGCAGCCTTCTCAGCAATGGGAGCCGTTAAAGGAGTATCTGGATCTCAGCAGCATCTCCGATGTTCCTACGTATTTGCAACACCTCTTACTTGTTGTGCTAGATAATTAGATGTTCAGTGTCTGCAATATAAGAGTTCAGCAATATCTTCAAGGTATTAGGTCTGTAGATCTGGCATCTTTAGATACCATCTTAAGACTAACTCCATCTTTTCTGCTATTTTAATTTAGATTTTCCAGGCTGTTTCTCCATGTGTTGGTTATTGAACTTTTTAAACACTCCTTGCCATTTGTCTGCATTCCCTTTCTATTTTCTCTTTCTCACTGCTTTTTTGGTGCTTTCTGTTCTCCCTCTTTTCTCCTGCAGTCAGTCAGTTTTGCTCTAATGTGTCATTTGTATTCCTGAAAGTTATGAGGTAGGCAAAATTGCACAATAAAAAAACACAGGGCTTGCGGAAGAATAGGAGTTTGTGTCACAATTTTATCAATGGCGTAAAACAAAGAGATAGAAAACTAATGAAAAATGTAGCACAGTTTTATAGGTTAAATAGTCAAGAATTGCATAAATACTATAAATATGACTCTTTACTTGGAAAAAGACCTGAAGTTTGGGTGTTGGATGCGTCTCAGGGTTTGTGCATTATATGAAGTGGTGGAAGGAGGGGTATTTGAAATCAGACAGGAAAGCTTTGCTCCGTGGCAGTATCGTAGCCAATGAGGTTTATCCGAGGCGCGATTATTGCTCATTGAAATCAGACAGAAAATTATAACACAGTTGGGGGTGGTTTGACTCAAAGCATGTGGTAAACTGAGGTGGTGTTAGATGTTTGAGGAACGTGCATGTGTCTATTTTGTGTATTCCTACAAAGCTCAGTTCACTTAGTTATAGGTTTCTGTGGTTAGCCACTGATTCTCAGGAATGAATAGTGCATAAGAAAACACAAAATTTAGAGCATAGTATAACATATAGAGCTGTCCAATCATTACGTTGTACACCTGAAACTAACGTAACATCGCTTGTCAACTATACTTCAATGTATTAAAAAAAGACAACACAAAATTTATATAATATTCAAATTGTTTCTTTTATCTGTTGTATTAAAACAGATGCATGTTTTCCAAACAAGCACTATAGCAAAATTAACTGTACTTTCTTTGCTTTCTCTCAACTTATTTCTTTTTTTATGTTTATCTTTTTTTAATTTGGCATTCGTTATTTGCATCTAGATTAAAGCAAAGTGCATCATCATTTTCTTATTTTGACTTAGTTGTGCCCTTTTTCTTTCTTTTTTTTAAATTTTATTATGTTATGTTAATCACCATACATTACATCATTAGTTTTTGATGTAGTGTTCCATGATTCGTTGTTTGCGTATAACACCCAGTGCTCCATGCAGAACGTGCCCTCTTTAATACCCATCACCAGGCTAACCCATCCCCCCACCCCCTCCCCTCTAGAACCCTCAGTTTGTTTCTCAGAGTCCATCGTCTCTCATGGTTCGTCTCCCCCACGATTTCCCCACCTTCATTTCTCTTCTTCTTTTAGTGCTGTTTGTCCCCAGTGGTTGCACTGTCTTCACCACAAAGCTTCTCCAATGCAGCTGGGCTGTAGGACATGCTTCTGAACACATGGGTCACCCTGTTTCTAGGCAGCAAGGGGGGAAATCAGTCTCAAAGTATTTAATCCTCTTAAGCCTCCTTCCTGTGGGTTGTGTGCACTCAGGACTTTTATGTTCTTAGCAATATAGAAATCAAGGCTTTTTTTACATTACACTTTTGTTCCAGCTAGGTCAGATTCATACCGGGAATAACCTTCTTTAAAAGAAAAATGTGTGTAAGTTCTTTTTGAGTGTCATTGAAAATAAAACTTGGCAAATGCACACAGGATCTTGAATAAAAATAGAAAATATTACAGTTTCTGTCTTCTTTCGTATTACTTGGTAATAATATACTGTTTATATAAGTATAATATTGTTTATAATAACTTTTGAATATAATTGATAAAATAATAGCTGCCATTTATTAAATGTTTAGGATACACCAGTGTTTTGTGCGAAGTTAATATATATATATATATATATATATATATATATATATATATATATATATATATTTACAGCTTCCAGTTCAAATGCATCTGTTAAGCTATTTGAAAATTACTGATCTACCTTTATATTTAATGTCCGTTAAGAGTTTTCCTAAAAACTTAGTTTTTCTTCAAAACTAGTTAGAGTTCTTATTTCTCACTGTGAAAACTCTATCAGTTTCATTTAAGTTCATGAATTTTAAATTGAAGATGAAGAATATCCCAAGTGCCATTTCTTTTTCGTTTCCTGCAGCGTTTGTCCAATGGTTCTATAGACTCAACTGATGAAACTAGTCACATAGTCGAACTACAAGAATTGCTTGAAAAGCAAAACTATGAAATGGCTCAAATGAAAGAACGTTTAGCAGCCCTTTCTTCCCGAGTGGGGGAGGTGGAACAGGAAGCAGAGACAGCAAGAAAGGATCTCGTTAAAACTGAAGAAATGAACACTAAGTATCAAAGGGACATTAGGGAGGTAAGTGATTCACAACACTTTCCGTCTTTGCTTTCCGAACCCTGCTTCTGAGAAGCTTTCTCCAAATCTCCTCTAATGGCATATAATGTTTACATCGCAGAAGACCAGGGTTTGGGATGCATTGTATTAGTTACAAAACGTGTCCACAAAGGCAAAAAAGAGTTTACTTCATCAGCCTTTAAATAGGTATACAAAGAAAATTTGGTATCAAGTTACAGACAGGGTAAAAACTTTCTGTAGTTTGTAATGAATTTTTAACATTTTTAAGCTGCTAATTTTAAATAACTTTAGACGTGGGTATGAATAATGAATTGCCACACTCTTAGCATATAGGAATACTCAAACTCGCTACTTTATATTTTCCCCCTTTTATTTTGGTGTTGTGTCTGTGAGTGCGAGTGAATGTGAATGTGGGAACCTTTCTTTCTCTATATCTTTGGTTCTTCCTAGACATAACGTCACTTCATCTATTTAATAGAGTACTTCAAAGTTACTGCAAAAAGATACAAGGAGATGTTTTATTTGTAACGTCACCTAATCATCTTACCAGCTAAGGTGAAATACTTAGAATCTCACTTTTCGCTCTATTAATTAAAAAGAAAATTATCTGTATTTGTGGAAATTTTATTTGGTAACCTTTCACCTTTTGCATTTTTACATATTCTTTTAAATTACATATTTTTTCTTTTTAAATATTTTTTGTATATAATTAACTAGTTTTTATTGAAGTTGACTCTATTGCATATATTCATTTCTTTTCTTCCCATTCCCTCTTGAGCCCATTTTACATTCTTTGCCTCTAACATCCCATCAAAACTGTTCTTACCAAAGTCATTGCTAACTTCCGTGTTGTTGAATGCTGCACTGGATCCAATCATCACTCCCCGTAGTAATTCTTCACTTGGCTAAAAGCACCCTATAGTCCTCTGATTTTCATCCATCTTTACTTTCTACCCTCATCTCAGGCTCCTTCATTGGTTCTACTTTCCCTAGACTTGTGGTGCCTTCCCTTCTCAGTCTACCTTCACTCGCCTGCTAAGTTCATGCAGTCTCATGGCTCCAAAAACCACCCACAGCCTTATGACTCTCAATTTATATCTCCAGCATATCCTATATCCTGATTGCCAGATGCCTGGAAAATTAACATATTCTAAAAATTAACATATTCAGGACTGTTTTCCTATTATCCTCCCACCCCCAAGAAACCAGACTTTCTTGTAGTCTTACACATCCCAGCTGTCCCCAAGGCCATTATCCTTACTCAGATCAAAAAACCTTGGAGCTGTCCTTGGTACCTCTGTTTCACACACACTTCATTTGATTCAGCCATAAATCTATTACTTCCAACTTCAGGATATCAATAATGTGACCTCCTCTCGAAGTATTCATGGCTCTTCCTTATTCCACACAACCATCATCTCTCACTGGATTATTACAATAGTCTCCTGGCTGGTCCTCCTCCTGCTGTTGACCCACTTCAGTCTATACTCAACATGGCAGCCTGAGTGATTTTTTATAATGTAAGTCAGCTCAAGTTAATTTCCTGCTTCAATGGCTATGTACCCTACTTACAGTAAAATCCAAGTCCTTGCAGTGGCCTACAAGCCATGTACGATCTCCACTACCACCTTCCTGACCTCTTCGAAATCACCTCCTACTCCTTCATCCCATTCTGTTCAGTGAAGATGGCCTCTCAAACTAGCCACACCTATTCTGTTGCATTTTCTTTCCCTCTTCCTTTTGTGCAAATGTTTTCTTCTCAGTGAAGTGTTCCCTAACCTTGTTATTTGCACATATATACTCTTCCTCTTCTTTCATTTTCTTTGTTTTATCTCACAGCCCTTACTGCCATCTGACACAATATGTACTATACTGATTTACTTGTTTGTCATATGCCCCCTCTCCACTGTACATAAAGATTCATAAGGGCTGGGAATTTTTGTTTTGTCTTGTTTTGTTCACTGTTTTATTCTAATCACCTACACAACTACCGGGCATATAATAATAGGCATTCAAAAACTTTTTGTTGAGAGAATGGATATTTATAAGTGTTTGGTGTAAATATCAAAAGGCACAGATGAGATTAGAATGTGTACTAAAACAATATCTACTGTCTCAGAAAAAGATAGATGATCCATGAAGTGTGAGACGGCTTTACTACCACACAAATGATGATACTGTGTTCTCTACACCTTTATATGAATTGATCGTTCAAAGATACATCTCTCATTTTCATTCCTTCCAACCCAAAGTCAGAGAATTTATAAAATAGCTGAAGGTTTGCCACTCTTCTATATCCCTGTTTGGAAACACTAAGATTTCTGGCTAGTAAAGCATCAACGTTTTTTCTTGAGCTCTTGCTCTTTGTAATTTCTTCATTGTCTTAGTCCCAGAGATTTAGCTGTTTTCCTTTCATCTAGCAATCCTCTCCTACCTCCTCTCTTCATGTTTATCTAATCCAGTGTCACAGGTAGAGCCCAGTATCTCCAGTTCCCCTTTCTTATTGTTTATGTAACAATAACCCCTTAATTCTCCCATAGTCTTTGGATGTAGGTGACAAAGAGCTAAGTCAGATGGAAAATATCGATCATCTGATGCCAGGTTTCTTTTATGAGGAACCTTTTCTAGTTGGTAAGGAGTTCTGCTATCACCTGGAATTCTTTTAAAATACAACAAATCTTATCAGCTGTAAAAATTTTTATGTAGTTATATTTTAGAAGAGATTCATGAGAAAAGAATATCTTTCATCATTCACCTCTAAAGGGAGGTTGCAAACAAATGTTTCAAGAGCCAGGCCGGCAATATAAATGTATGACACATTAGGCAGCAAACATGCAACATAGGAAGTGGTAGAGTTAATGAGACCTGGACAAGGTACCTATACTCTGCCTGCCTTTCTGGATATATCATGTGTGGTATGTGTGTGTGTGTGTTAAGGACACTGTGAAGGCCAAATAGAACATTTCCAAAAAGGTTCAGGTCACAGACCACAAGGCCCTGGCTTACTGCTAGGAATTTCTTGAGGATCAACCATGAAAACTATTACGGGTGCATTGCATTTAATTTCTCTAATTTCTTACATTGGTCCTATCCAGAAGGTACTTGTCATTATCCCCATTTTTCTCAAGTGAGGTAAAGTGACTTGTCAAAGGCACATGCACTGCCTTCCCCAGCACCCCACTTCTTCCAACCCCTCTCCCCCTGCCCCACTCCCTGCACCAGAAAGACACAGGATCAGCCCAGCTTCAAAACTTGTGCTTCTTCCGCTATGAGCAGCTTCCAAAATCAACGAAATAGAATCATTCATCAGTGATAACACTAATATAAAAAATGCAGCTGCACTATTAACTGCCCAAATAATCAATCTTTTGCTCTTTCTTTCCAGTAAGATGTGAAAATCATGTACTTTAAAAAGGTATCACTTAACGCTCAAAACTTCAGCCTCTGCTTTTGTTTTCCTGACTGATAATGTACTCGTGGGCAATGGGCACACAAGGTCTACTAGATTGCAAGTTTTTTAGTAGGAAACTAGAAAAGTGATTCTTCTTGGCTACCCCTATAGCATTGCTAACACAGTATGTATGCATTATATAAGCGATGCATATTTGTTCAATTAATTAAGGAAAAATAGGGAATAAGAAAAACTGACGATGTAATTAAAAACTGAGTGCATTTTGCTTTGCATGTGAGGACAGCCTAATATATCTAAAATGAATTGTGTAAGTATATTTCATTAATGGCTTTAGAGTATATTTTTGTCATTATTCTTTGTCAAGAAATAAATCTATTTAAAATTTACTTTTGTTTGAAGTTTTGTCTTATTTGCTCCTTAAATTGACTGTGACCTATAAGAGTAGGGGGCTGGATTAACACTAAGCATAGTCCACATATTAGAAAACATAGATAATCTTATAGCAGGCTTAGCTCTCCGCTTTTTTTTTTTTAAGATTTTATTTATTTATTTGACAGAGAGAAAGAAAGAGCACAAGCAGGGGGAGCTGCAGAGAGAGAGAGAGAAAGAGAAGCAGGCTTCCCACTGAGCTGGGAGCCCAACATGGGGCTTGATCCCAGGACCCTAGGATCATGACCTGAGCCAAAAGCAGATGCTTAACAAACTGAGCCACCCAGGCGCCCCTAGCTCTCCACTTTTTTTTATCAAGATAGCTACTAATTGGGTATTGGATAATAACATTTTATTAAATATATAGGTATGCAAAGAATTAGAATTTTCTATGATGTTTTTAAATTATATATTGTTTTGTGAATTAAACCAACTTATCTTTCCAACTTCCGGTTAAGAGTTCTTAAAAAATTCCTTAGTGATTAAATGAATACATATCAATTTTGTCTTTTCTATGATCTGAAACATGGAGTTATATTTTTTAGTTTACTAGATCTACATTACTATAGAGTTATATTTATTTGATACAATAAAATGAATTTTGTACACAAACTTCAGGTCAAAAGATAATTGAATCTTTACGCTGTTTTTCTCTTTTTAGGCAGCAGTTTTTAGAGACTAGAAAAAGCTTCCTTTTTTAGAATTTCCAAGTGACATGCAGGGAAAAGATATTTCTCAGACTTGTAAATTCAAAATTTATTTTTGGCAACACAGCTTGCAGTTAAAAATTGAATCTCCCACATGAATCACTGAATCAAAAATGCAGTAGCAAAGTCTATACAATGACTTCTGCATGCAATATATGCCATAGAGTCAGATCAGCTAATTAGAGGCACAACAGTAATTAATAATAAAAAAGCAGCTATTATTTATGGAGTGTGTATTATGCATAAGACCACACAAGGCACTTAAAATTTTGTATCGCAACAATGTTGTGTGGTAGAGATTAATATCCCATCCAAAACCAGAAAACAAAACAAAGAAGCAAACAAACCAAAAAAAA